CTTGTTCTCCTATATTTGGGTGTAGTCTTGAGGAAAATGAAAAGCTTGTGTTGACTCCATTCGAAAAGAACCTTGACATCTGGAGACAGCTTTGGCGAGTACTTGAACGCAGTGATTTGGTAAGTCTTTGTCAAGGTGTATCAACCCTCTCATTGAGTTCATTTTTTTTTTTTTTGGTTTTACCAAATTGCAAAGTTTTTGGTTATTTAATTCTTATCCTTTTTCAGATTGTTATGGTAGTCGATGCTAGAGATCCACTGTTTTACCGTTGCCCTGATCTTGAGGTAGTACATTTTATTCCAACTTTAAACTCCACTTGACACCGTATTCCTGATTCTTATCATTTACTTAAAGATTTGTCCTGACACAGGCATATGCTCAAGAAATTGATGAGCATAAGAAAATAATGCTTCTAGTTAACAAGGCGGATCTTTTGCCTTCTGATGTCAGGTAGGCCTCTTGTTCCTTGCTTCTCTACCTCTTAACCTTTTTTTGGGTCTTTTAATCAATTGGTTTGCCTCTTAACATATCTGTAGGGAGAAATGGGCTGAATATTTCCGCCGGAACGACATTCTGTTTGTCTTCTGGTCAGCTATAGCTGCTACAGCTACCCTAGAGGGTAAAGTCTTGAAAGAGCAATGGAGAAAACCTGATAACTTTCAGAAGACAGATGATCCAGAAGTTGTGATATATGGAAGGGACGAGCTGTTGGGTCGTTTACAATTTGAGGCTCAAGAGATTGTCAAAGCGAGAAATTCTAAAGCAGCATCCATTGCATCATCATCACAGTCATTGACTGTTGAATCTCAACATGACCGAGCCGTGGTTGGATTTGTTGGATACCCAAATGTGGGTAAGAGTTCTACAATCAACGCATTGGTGGGTGAGAAGCGAACGGGGGTCACCTCTACCCCGGGAAAAACAAAGCATTTCCAGACCTTGATAATTTCTGATGAGCTTATGCTATGTGATTGCCCTGGTTTAGTGTTCCCTTCGTTCTCAAGCTCGAGATATGAAATGATTGCTTGTGGTGTACTTCCGATTGACCGGATGACTGAGCACCGTGAAGCTATTAAGGTGGTGGCTGACAAGGTCCCTCGCCATGTCATCGAGAGTGTTTACAACATTTCTCTTCCTAAACCCAAACCCTATGAGCGTCAGTCCCGTCCGCCTCACGCTGCAGAGCTTTTAAGAGCTTACTGTGCTTCCCGTGGCTATGTTGCCTCTAGTGGACTACCTGATGAAACGAAAGCAGCGAGGCTGATACTAAAAGATTACATTGGAGGTAAGCTGCCACATTTTGCATTGCCACCAGGAATGACAGAAGGTGATGAATCGGAGATAGAGGACACTCAAGAAACCGGAGCTCTTGAAGGCTCAGATTCCGAAGACCCTACAACAGGAGATGAGACAGAAAGCGAGCAGGTTCCTGGTATTGATGATGTACTAGAGGATCTGAGCTCGTTTGATCTCGCAAACGGGCTTGCGTCAACGAAGAAAGCAACAACAAAGAAGCAAACCGCGTCACATAAACAACACAAGAAGCCACAGAGGAAAAAGGATCGGAACTGGAGGGTTAAAAACACGGAGGATGGAGATGGAATGCCTGTGGTTAGAGTTTTCCAGAAACCGGCTAACACGGGGCCTCTCATGATGCGGTGATCAGCAAGTTGTAGTCATTCCGAGCAAAAGATCCTTTGCCCCAAAGTTTTTGTGAGACAATAGTATGGATTGGCAACCAAAGCTACTTAAAGTTTTACTTTTTATGTAATAACAGTTTAAATTGTCGCACTTGTCGAATCTGTTGATGTTTTGGAAACATTTTTAACACTGCATTTATACAAGTTTGAATTCTTGGTTATAAAATGATGGCACTAGCCATGGTACCAATACAAATCACTATGGTAGGTTCCTGATTAGACGATTAATTACTTATATTTCATTCTGCAATTTTTCCGCGGTTCCATAATTATGCAATTAAAGATGTTCTTCTGTCTCGTGACTGCCAAATATTTTTCTTTTGTTTATGTCATCACCAAAAAAATCTGGAGAAATTTCAAAAAATACCACTTTTCAAGTTCTATTTTACAAAAATGTTACACTTTTAAAATCTTTAAAAAAATGACACTTTTTCAAAATTATTTTTTCTTTATATTATTTATGTTTGGGTTAATTATGTTTTATTAGGGTTTAGTTACGAGGGTTTGGAGGTTTAGAATTTTAAGATATAAGTTTTATAAATCTATAATTAGTGGTATTTTTACAAATAGACATCCTCGTATGGCATTCTTGCAAATATGCACACAAACATGATATTTTTGTAATTGTCCCAAAAATCTGAAAAATTGTTTTTAAAATTATTCACATTTTCGAAATAAATTAATTGCTGTATTATTATTATTTATTTATACATTTTTAAAATTTATTTAGTTTTATTATATTTTCAACCTTTACATTTTTCCATCAGATCGTTTCATTAAATTCTATGATATACAGAGCCATTATAGTAAAAAAAAAAAATAGTTATTACAGTTATAAATAATCAAACAGAAATGTTTTATTAATGGATTTTGTTTTCTCCACATAGAGAGAGAGAGAGGCTGCTTCGTACGTTTGGCATTGAGTTCGTCTCTATCTCTCTTCCCTTTCGCGTCCTCCAGGGTTAATATACTACTGCTGATTAGCCTTTATACTAT